TATGAATCATATTTCAAATTTTGTCCTGAGCTTCAAATAACTAGTAAAGGTTTGGGTTTTATGGTAGTTTGGAAAAACCACCGGGTGTTAAGCCATTCGTCCACGTAAATTCGGGCTTTAATTACTTTTGGAAATATCGTTGATTCCCAATATTTTTGTTCGTTACTTAAGCTTATTAATGGTATGTTTTATGGTCATCGAAGGAACGTTACCCTATTATTTTTCATCGTGAGTTTGCATTGACAGTGTGTCAATATGTCGACGATAACTCTAATTAATTTATGGATTAAACCTTTTCTTGAACTTATTCTTCAAGAAGGAACTCTGTTTTGTCGCGCCTGCTCTAAACCGGTAAGGATTTTTATACATCTGTGGACGTAGTACGCACTTTTTCTACTTACAAAAGCATATTTTAGAATCACGGGAAAAACTTTTTGTTAGAATATTTCGAAAAATATTTAAAAATAAACTGTTACCAAAATAGTAATTAAATAGTCGATTACCACTATTTTTCAATTTGTTCTGTTTTTATTATATTTATTTTTTACTATAACAATATTATCTTTAAAAATGTGATTTATGTGTTAGTGAGAATTAATTAAACACTTTACAATGTGATTTATGTATTTTTTGTAATAAAACGTATGCTCGGGAAACCTGTTTTTGTAATTTGTAAATAAATTTAATTCGGTTATTACGGTTTTTTTTTTATTTTTGGAGCATATGCAACTGCATATCTCTGCATATATTAGAAAAGTTACTGCATATTTGCATAAATTTGATGCATATCATATGATCATATTTCCCAAAATTTTGCTGCATATTTTCCGCTCTCTATTAATATATATAGCTTACCCGCAGGAAGTAAAAATATGAATGCATTGACGAACCACAAGTTTCATAATTTTTTGCATATTTTAGATAGATTTATTTGGCAAAATCTTGCGATGACGTCATCAATTTTTTTGGAGGAGATAAACCGATAAATTTTTATTTCTCATGCTTACGATAAGCTTAAAATGTTTGGCAGATTTCAAAGCATTTGGTTTTGCAGGTTCAAAGTTAAACTGCAAAATAATGTACAATTTGGATTTTTCCAAAAAATCAAGAAGGACTCATAAATCACAAACATGCGCAGTATTACATATGTTATTTTATAAAATTTAAATCACGTTTACTATGTACCATTTTAAGGTGACGGCATCACATCGCTAGTGGGGGTGATTGCTGATTAAACAAGTTTTGGTCCATACGATAACTATTCCAAAAATATATACAAAATTTGAGAACAGTCAGTTCAGTAATTATGGAAATTATCTGTATAATAAATATCGACAGAGACAGATACACGAGAAACAGAAACGGGAGACCGACTGTTTCGTACTTTAGGGGTCACAAAACGACAAGAACACATTAAAGTAATTATTCGCCGGCTGGACCCTATTACAATATTTTCTTAACTTGCGCTCTCAAAGTAAAACAATCCAGTAAACAATTAAGTATTTAATAAATATTTTTTTCGATGGTGTCATCAATTTTTTAGAGAATGTAGACTGCACTGTTGTACAGTATTCCACAGTACACATCCAAAATGACATATTTGTCTCTACTAAAGAGTAGATGATGTAAAATAGTTATTGTAGGTATTAGTCGAACTTTAAAATTCAGCTAAGAAACCGAAGTTATTTCTTTGTGTTTCAAGGAAGAACTTTTTTAAGACATCCTGTTTAAACAGTTCTAAAAAATATTTCAAAAAATTTATCAGACTTCCAACAACAACTTTTTAAATTTCAAGCGATGTTTTGTAATAATTTAATTTAAAATTATATCAGTGTTTAATGTCTTGCCAAAATTGTCAACATACTTCACCAATGTTTATTAATAATCAAGGGCAACCTACTGACTTTTTCGACTCAACATACAATATCGTTCTAGGTGTTTTTTTTTGACTGAAATTTAAGGCAAATATTTTAGATATTGTTGTTTTTTAATAACGAATTATTTTTATTACAGAAGGGACAAAGGATACATGTTCAAAAACTAATTCGATATAATTTATTTTAATACATAGTTGCCAATTTTGTAAGTTTCGGAACTAAATCAGCAATCTGAATTTGCGTTTCTAAAACTTTTCTCCTCGGGGTAATACCCAGACCATAGTTTCCTTTCCTTGCTAGCAGGTTCTGGAGCAGATGTTCTTACAATCAGTACACCGAAAATTTTATTCACAATAGGAAAAGTGTGAGCGATAGCTTTTGACGACAACTGTATATAACTTCGAAATCTACAGATATACCTACTGATCCTAGAAGTTACAACGTTTTCTACAGTAGTGTCTTGTCTAGTATGAATTTATCAAATTGTAAACACATGTTTGATTATGATCATTAAATTCCTTGTCTTACTGCGTTCTAACTACTTAATTTATTATGGTTCTCATTCCGTCAAAGTATGTCACTTTGAAAGTTAAACTGACCTTCATAATACTATAGTTATAGTACGCATAATTACATAGATAAAGAACTAACAAGTAGTAATCACGAAAATTAGACTTTGTGGCAACAGTGTTGCGTTTTTGTTACTTTTTTTAGCTATTGTTAATAAAAAATTGGTCCAGAGGACTATCCACGAAAGAGATAATCTAGTTTTTGAAATAAAATGTAAAATTTTATTTTATTTATGGTTGTCCCTATATGGTAAGATAAATCAAATTTGATACTGTTTTTGATTTAATAAATAAAATAAACTTTTGCACTTACTAATTCATTTAATACGTCTTGTATAAACAAATTCAAATAATACATATATATTATTAAAGTGTAAATAAAAGAGTGCGTCGCACCAATAATTTTAAGTGAAATTTTTTTAGCAAAACTTTGACATGACGTTATTAAATTTTTGGTTAAGTGTCCAGGTGAAAATTACGGTGAACACCTGTTGTAATCAAACATATACAACTTTTTCGAAAATTTATAAAATTTTATTTTACCAATTTTATTTTTTTATGTGAAGTTATAAGTTAATAATATAAATATTTGTATGTAATGTTAAAGTAAATCTACAGAAGCGTGCTACACGTATGTTTTAAGTGAGTTTTTCTTTTATAAAATTTTGTGATGACGTCATCAACATTTTTGCAACGAGACATATCAATTTGGGAGGTGCAGTAAAATACTACTAATAATATTATTATATTCCTAAATTTTCAGGAAAATGGAGTGAACTGTTCTCGATTTATTCAATAAAATTAAATCGAGCCGTGATTACGAAAGCTCTTTTAAAATATTTATTTCTTTATAGTCGTTTTATTGTATTAACAAGAAAAATAATTTGTGTGCATTAAAAATAGTCGGTTAAACAACTTTCGTTTTGGGCGTAATTCCACGCCAGTTCGAACGTCTCCAAAGCTCAGCTAGAAAAGTCCCTTCCTACATAAACAATGGCCGGTGGGCCATAATTTACTATCTATTGTTGGCAGGAGCGAACAAGGCGTGAACAGTCTTACCAACTTTGTGACTGGAGATTAACAGCGAGTAATCTTTGGCCAACTTTACATACATAAATATCCCCGCACTATATCTCGACGACGGTAGCGCGCGTCGCAAGAAACCCATATCTTTGATATTGTTGGTTTAATCACCGGAGATACCGGACTTTGCCTTTATTTCACCCTTACCTAGTACACATAGCTCTCTCTCGCTGCTTTATTATGTCATGCTGGCTGGCTTTTACGATGCATAATAGGGCTTAGAACAATTGATATTGCTGTACGATGAAAACATCTTTGGACCTTGTTTGGTACACCTGAAAAAATTAAGGACGAGGCTTAATTGCGCCATCTATGCTGGACTAACGTGGCTTTAATAGGACACGCCTGGGAAAAAAGGACGGCCCGTATGGAATGGATTTAATTAAAAATTTGTTCGGTTTATCTTTTGCATTCTTGTGGAATGGGTGACTCCACCCTGGATGGTATTATTTAATTAATTAATGATTTGGGGGCGATAAGCGCAAAATGGGGGAATTATTGCAATTTGTTCAAGGTTTTTGTGGGCTTGTAGTAATTTGTCGATTGGATGGCTCAAATTTTTGAAAAATCGACAAGTTAATTTCGTAACTTCTGATACTAATCTGCGAGAACAGATAACTGGATCTAACTGTATTATCTTGACAATTGTGGTAATCACGGTGAGGTGCCAACATCTTAAATTCTAGAAATAGCTGTACAGTTTTATTATCTTTGGAAATTGAACTAGGTTCCTGAGGCAAGCTATAGATTTATTTAATATATTTTTAGATAAATTCATTAGAATTTTCGAGGTGGCAAATATTTAAATCAATTTTAGTTAATGTTGTTGTAATCCCTAAATTAGTGTTCAATGTAAAATTTGGAAAAAAATAGGATCACTCTTATGGGCAATAGAGATGATATCATCAGTCTTTCGAGTGGACATGTAGATAATTTGTTCAGCGATTCAGCATCTTCTAAATGACTTTAAAATGTGTATTAATTTTCAAAACAGTTTGTAGTATAGCTTTAATTGTTACTTCCCGAGCGAAAGCTAAGGAAGTGTTGTAATCCAGCCCATCGAGCCACTGGCTGCTTTCATATTTTCTCGGGCTCATGACCCTAGAGTATGAAAAAATTGCTCAAGGGTTGTTTCGACAAAACTTCCTGCGCCCATGAAGTACAGTGAAACGTATCCAGCATTTTCGAAAAATTATAAAATTTGATTTTCCGAATTTAATTTTTTTGTGCCAATTATTAATTAATCCTTATGAAAACTGTGGTCCTAGATTGTCATTTTGGCTGTACCCAAATTTGAGGAAGTACTGCTGATACACTCTTGTAATGTAATGTAGAGGCAGAAAACATGAAATTGGCCGTTACGGTATACGGTTTTCAGTTTTATGAGTAATGTAATTAAAAAAATGCCACTATTACGTGCACGACAGTAGTCAACGCATTGTTGTTGTAAAGTAATGAATTAAAGTTTACATATTCCATTATCAGTCAGTTCGTGGTAGTAAAACTATCACCTGGTCGGCATGGCGATAATTGTAAGTTAATTCAGTTAGAACAACAAATTTGCTCAATGTTTTCAGATATTTTACATGGTTTTGGTTATACTCATCCTATGCACGCTAAAAGAGCCAGTAGTTGGCATTCCAACTTGGCTTTTAGGTACGTTCGTTGTATTTTTGCGTTTGTGGATGGTAACTATGAATTAATGTTGTTCAGAAGCGGAAAATATCACCCTAGAAGAAACAAATTTACAATAGTGTATAATACACTCAGATGAAATACGGTATGAGTAAATTGTATGACTAAAATGTTGTTCTTTTATTTTTCTCTTTATGTTTCTTACAGTAAGTACCAAAGTAAATACGTTTAAATGAAAATACAAAAACGAAAGAGATCGTAATTTAAAAAAATAGTTTAAAACGTTTAGATCGTATTTCCTTCGCAGTCTGAAGAGTCGACCATTAATGTTTTTTGAAAAAAATATTTTTAGGGGTTAAATATCATTAGATCAGTCATAATGGTTTGGCGATTTGGATTAAAGTTATTTCTTAGGTGAGGCTAACACAAATTGTAAAATTTTGTTTTGCATTTTTTTTGCAGAAAGAAGGGAACGATTCAGTATTAATTAAAAATACAAAGTTAAATAAAAAATTGAAGGCACAGCTATACGCTTTTTAAACGTTATTTTTATCGATAATACTATCGCACAAGTATGTAAATGTACACACTAAACGGCAGCGAGGCCGTTTTAATCCATAGGCGTGCACAGCTGTCTTTAACGCCAATCAAGGCCGCACGTTCGCATATACGACAAGCGGTCGTTCGCGATTTTCGCGTTCGTAATGGGTACTCGACGCTTATGATATTTTATTGCACCTAAAAAAACAAGCGATAACAACTGGACTCAATAATAGTAATACAGTCACGACGCGTTTTTCTGTACTCACTATAGTTATCAATGTTATCATTATTGTTTCACACATCGTGCCGTTAAATTGACACATCGATAATGAGCCTTGGCTATGAATAACAGCCGTTGTTGAGCAAAAATGGTTTTAAAAGAGATTATATAACGTTAAATTAAGAAACTGATCTTGTTATTATTGAATTTAGGTGCCCTATAAGTAACACTAACGACTCCTAATCAAACAATGAAATAAATAAATACACATTACGTGATGGCTACTTCTTAATATGCGAGAATGTTTTTTAGTATGCAAAATATTGTCTCTAAAATATAAATAACAAGTACTTGTTTACCTGTAGCTTGGCAGTCGACACGTAGCTTTATCTTAACTTACAGGTGTTATCACAAAAAAATTAAATAAAATTAGTAGTTCGGTTATCTATCCAATTATTAACTTTACAGTGTAGACAATATTTTTAAGGTAATCTCATAGCAAGACGATATCAATAAGATATTTTGGAACCTTTTGTAAAACAACTCCATGATGATGAATTGTGTAGAAGTGTACAGAATTGATTTCTCCAAGTTGACACTAAGTTGTCGTTGAAAAGTAATTATTTGATATTTGATCATGAGATCGTTATTATGTTATCGTTATGATGACTCATTGTCGGTGACGGCGACTGGAGAGAAGCCTGGAAGCGGAATCCAGAAAGACCTCGACTGCGAAACTTCTAGAAGAAAAGGATGGCTTTAAATAGAGGCTACCTTCGGGAACGACGATCATTCAGCCAGTTCAGTCTACGAGAGTACAGTCATGTTGCGCCGAATTTATTTTGTACATAATCGCTGTGTAATCAGTCGTGTAAATTTGAGTTATTGAGAAATAAATTGTTGAATTTAACCCACACCAATTTTAATCACCCGTTCGACGTAACACTGGTGTGTGAGATCTGAAATTAATAACTGGTTTTACGACGACTTCCGGACAGATTGGACAAGAACTCTGAAGAATTTATGCCTGTCGAGACTAACTATACTTACAAAAATAGACGAGAAAATGAACGCAAAAATAGAAAAAATGGCCGAGAAAATGGGCGCAAGAATGGAAAAAATGGACGAAAAGATGGACGCAAGAAATAATAAAGATATGGATGAAAAGATGGAAACAAGAGATGAGAAAATGAATGCGACAATAGAGGAAGTCAACGGAAAAATGGAAATGATGGACGTGAAAATAAATAAGCAAATCAGGCTAACCGAAAAATTCTTAAGGGAAGTGGAAACAAACAAGAATGAAATAGAAGAAATTAAAGAACAAATGAAAGTTATGAAAATATTGTCGGACAAAATATGGTCTCAATGGGGCATCAGTTAAAGAGTGAGAGAGAAAAATCAGTGGAATGTATAGAAGATAGGATGGAGAACAAAATTAAGAAATTCGAAAAGATACAGAGAAATGTAACAACAACTAGTCCATGTATTGTGATGACACCCCACCTATGATGGTCAGACACCTTAGTCATCGTACGAGAAGCAGTTCGATGCAGCAGCAACGGCAAATCTCTGGGAATAAGAACAAAAAGCTACAGCTTTGGTGATAGCTTTGCGAGGCGCAGGTCGTTGAATCGCCGCGCCCGAACCAGAAACGGTACCACCGCCACCCGTTTTTTTTGTCATCACCGTCATAAATCGAAACCGTCGTGCACGCGTCGTACACCGCCACCGCAATCCCCTCCTGGGTCGCCGTACCGTCCTCACACGATTTCCAGCTTCAAGGTCGCCGCCCCCAAGTCCAGGAGGAGCCCGTCCTGAAAGACGTCGCCGCCCAGGAGGAACAACCGTGCCGGACGTTTACTTCTTTTGTTTATTTAGTTGTAGCTGGTGGCAGGGAATAAACCCGATTATTATTTAAAACATTCCTTGCCGTTTTATTTTATTCTCGTATTTTCGCGGGTGCTTACCACCTGAGATCCGTGTCTCCGGCTTGAGAGCAACCCCGGCACTCCCGGGCCAGACTGTTTCTTATATCAGCAGCACTAGTCGACCCAAGGCTTGGCACCCAGGTACGCTGTCACCACATGTTTTCGGTGAGATTTCAGACCGTCCCGTCCCACCGGAATTTCGTCGCAACACTTCAGTTTTGATTTTCCTGGTAATAACGCATATCGAACAGATTTCACTTGGTCTGATTTATTTATAACGATTAAGGAAATTTTAAAATTTATTCTTTTTCAGGTTTTTCGAAGTACCTTGACTGTAATAAGCAGAGTTGTTAATAATAACAGTTGTTTATATGATTTAATACTGTGCAATTTTGATTGCTAAATTACAATTATATTTGATAAACAACCTTGGATTTGGCAGAAGATGTAGTTTTCGAAACACCGACTAATGTAAACTATGTATAAATTGATTGATCTTCTCTTAATTCTACTGAAAACGTGGTGTTGCTAAATTCTATGAAACAATTAGCAGCTTTTAAGTTCTTTTGTCAATACATCCAAGAGTTCAAAATATCCAGTCTGGTTCAGTTTATAAATAATTATAAGTACCTTTCCACTAATTATAGGTAACAAAACTTAAGTGTTGTTCATTGATTTAGTACCGAGGTTTTGTTCACTAAATCTTACAGTCAACATCTTTTGTCAGTTAACTAGTAATTAATAAGCACATCGATTAATTCAGGCATTCTTGTATATTTTGTTGTCCGTTTCACTCAAAAACCGCAAAACATTAAAAATTGTAATTCTTCCCTAACAACTCCCCACCTATTGTATGAAAACAACGAATTCGTCAAATTTTATTTGCACCCCAGTTCCTATAATCAAGCCCCTTTTTCACAACCACGAAATCCCACCCTTAATTACCGCTAAATACACGTTTCGCCCATGCCAACCCATCGCTGTCTTTAATGGGCGTTGATCAAAGCTCGCCTGTGCAGATCCAATTAGATAATTAAATTAATTAAACTATATTCCGCGGCCGGTAAATCAGACCAGGTCTGTTTAATGAATTGTCAGGAGACCATAACCGTCATAATAAAAAATCCGTGATCACGAATTTAATAATACAATGAGTATGATGAAATCACATTACTTGTCCTAATTAATAAATCTAGCTCATAAACAATTCATGAATGGGTTCGTCCCTGTAAGTACAATAGAAAAATTTGTCACTTTCTCCCCAGCGTACCATAACGCGTGAATCTGACGTTTGCCCAACCTGTGACCAGCGGGACACCTCACCCTCAGGTGCAGAACCATTTATACGTGATTAGAGATAAGTTTTGGGAGCATGAACGCGATCGAGCTATTAAGAGGAGGTGATCTACGATTCTGTCATTCGGAGGAGCGTAGGGGACGGATATTAAAAAAAGACTTATGCTGGATATCCATTTCGATATTAAAAATATGTATACATTATATTGTTGTGCATTTGCATGTGACGTTGGGATTTCGAAGCGAATATCAAACGTTCAGATTTATGGCTTTTAATATACATATATGAATCGTAAACGCGTTTTTCAAAATATTGATGGTTGGCAGCGGGATTCTTATACCGGAGCTGCAGAGCTGTAACAGAAAGTAGAACAAGTGCATAATATTGATAAAGAATAATTATTTTTATATTATTATGTATTTTTTCCTGGTATCGTGTCTTTAATGACCTAACTTCACTGTCGCAAAATGAAATGAATAAGGAGAGGCTAGAGAAACAGATTTTATATTCGAATCGTGGCAAAGTGTGTAATTAAGGATTTTCATCATCTATCATTTAAGTTTTAATGTTATATTTATTATTTAGCCATGTTACTCATAACTTTAGTTTCTTATTATATTATTTCGGCACAAGGAAATTATCTTCTCAATTTTCAATAGAATTTAAAAAAATTATGCTAATTATATTGTTATGTTTAAAAATAAAATTTACTCAACCTTTGGTTTCTCATTCTAGGTACTCGTAGATATTTTGAAACTTTTTGGCTGAATTTGTTGTTGTAACTGAGCCCATATAGTTTACTTTCCAAGGGAAAGTTAGAGACGTACTTTTAATTCACATTATTGTTAAATTCTATGTACATCTGCGTCTGCTGTGTTGATAGTGAGACGTTAATCAAAATTTGTCCATTCGTCCTTACCAAAAATTGTATGGCGTGCTATCTCAAATGTGTACGTATTTTTCATATTTTGCAATTTCGTCTTAGGAGACCTTTAATCATATGATAAAGTATGAAGTACATATTTCATTCAGAAAATATGAGTTGATCCATGGTTTGCCAGGACTCTCAACAAATTTCCTGACATAAGAGCATCTAAGTAACATAGATGATAGCTGACTATAAAATAAGCTCCAGGAAATATCAGGATTCTTTAAATAATTGATAAGAGGTCAACGAAA